GTAAGATGACTCACCTATGCTCAGAGAATAGACAGCAAAGAGGATGAACATCCCAACAAATATTAATTAGAATAGCACCTATTTTCTGAGCACTCTGGGAAACAACGGTGAACAGAGAGACACAGTCCCTGCCGCTGTATTCAAACTCAGCCCTGACTCCTAAGCTCTTCCCTTTCTTCCTTCCACCACCGATTTATACTCAGAAAAGAAGTCCCTAGTCTGACTCAGTTATAGCATTTGACTACGGCCATGTTGTACCTACACTGCTGTTATTAAACCTAATTTTTATTTTTTGAAATAATTTTACTACTTGACTGAAGAATGTTTTCACTTTTTTTTAAATGTTGATAATCACAGGAAGCTATAGTACTTTGTGCTCAACTGCTCATTATTTACACTTTAAGCGACAAGAGCTGATACCAACTCTCAGATCAATGTAAAGAAGCAGTTTACATCAAAACTTGGGCCTTCGCACTCTTACGGTACTGCCATTCCTGAATCAAAACAATTACTTTAGAGTCAAATAATCTTCCAGATGTCGAAGTGCAAAGTACCACAGTCTAATTTATATCAAAGTACTTAATTAACTTGAACAGATGACACTAGAAAGAAAAATCCGTCGATAATTTGCATATCTTTTGTCTTCAGGATATTAAGAATTGAAATATACATGGAATTCTGTGATAATTAGAAGACATTTCCTCACTCACTTAATAAATATTTATTGTGTACTAAGCCTGAGGCAACATTATAAAAGTGAGAGATACAGAAATTTTTATAGCAGGAAGACTGTTTCCAGGTGTTTCACTGTGGTACAGCATAAGACACAGGGAACACAAACATAATTCTAGTTTAGTGCATGTGGTTGTTGGAAGACAATTCTGCATGATTCTCTTGTATTTATGCATGTATTGTGAGTGAGGCACAGACTGTCCTTTGTTCTGAACTTTCTTTCCAAGGATGTTTCTATAGCAAACAGCTTTGGGATGACACACTGGTGTCTCTCTTTGGAATAAAGGGCAGTTTTGCTTGCAATCCTGGAAGACACAGTGTCTCTTTACAGAGCAAAGGATAGGCATGCTTCCTGTCTAGAATAATAATTTGTCCCTCCAGAACAAAAACCAGACATGTTTCCTACCCATTATAAAAGATTTGAGGGGCGCCTGGGTGGCGCAGTCGGTTAAGCGTCCGACTTCAGCCAGGTCACGATCTCGCGGTCCGTGAGTTTGAGCCCCGCGTCGGGCTCTGGGCTGATGGCTCAGAGCCTGGAGCCTGTTTCTGATTCTGTGTCTCCCTCTCTCTCTGCCCCTCCCCCATTCATGCTCTGTCTCTCTCTGTCCCAAAAAAATAAATAAACGTTAAAAAAAAAAATTAAAAAAAAAAAAAAAAAGATTTGGGTTGCCTGAACTCAACAATCCTCTCTGATAAATGTAGCTCATTTTGTGCGTGGTAATGGAAGCTGGCCCTCTTCATGTCACTTGCGAGAACTGAGGCTCAGGGAATATGTGCAAATACGCTAAGACTCACAGACTGGTTGCTAGGAGTGTTAAACTGTCCTTCGTCTCTAACTTTGGAGTCTTGTGCCTTCTACCAGCATCTAGTCATAGGCTATCTTACTGGCTTACAAGTATGGTAAAATCTCGGTCTTGACAGTTCTTGATAGCAAACAGTTGCAAAAATGGCAATAAATTCATTCCCTTCCTGCATCTATGCCCTTTGGTATATACTCTCTTACATTGATTCTGGGCTTGGCCATGGGGCTTCCTTGGCCAATGGGACATCAGAAAACATGACACAAAGAGAGAGACTGAAAAGTACCTATACATTGAGACTTACCCTCATGCCATTTTTAGAACTTAGTTGTTATGTGAAAAAGCCCAGGCTAGCCTATTTGTGTGAAATACATGCCCACTGTCCCCTAAAACCCCAGCGAAGAGCCTCACAATCACCAGACCTACCAACAAGGCCAAATTAGGTCATCCAGCCTCTAGTCAACAGTCCAGTTAACTGCTGATGTGAGAATGAATCCACCATTGATTATTAGAGCTGACAGACCAGAGGAGCTATTCAGCTTCTAGGTTTGGGGGTCACAAAAGCTAACAAAAGAGGCAGAATACAACACAAAAACTACCTCTAGTATTTTATCTATATTACAAATTCCATGGAGCTCGGTCTACGTCTGGTTAAACATTGTAACTCCAGAACTCAACACTGTGCCTAGAAAAGAGTTAAAAGTGCCAACTGTTCCAGCTTTGTTTTGGTTTCTCCATCTGAACACTGACTACAAAAGTCACTTAACTTTCATCTCACAAGCAGGTTGTGAGCTTGAAAGAACAGTGTATGATTCTAGCAGGTCACATGATTGAAGGAATAAAGCACAACTTCTTGTACTCAAGGAAACATGCTCCAGTGCGTGAAAATCAGCTCTTCTACCTAATATCTGGCGATCCTCGGGTGGGTTATTTAAACATATCGCACTTTGGTTTTCTTATCTGCACGATGGGAATAATGAAACTTTCTTCATGAGCTTTGTAACACAGGTATTATAAAGGAGGCACTCTTCACGTAACCTACCAGAGTATCAGGGGCGTTGTGGTAAGAGATGAAAGACTGGGAGTAGCAGCAAACACTGTTCAAGGCCAGTAAGTAGCATGCACTTGCTCACACACTTTCTCTCTTACACACACACACACACACACACACACACACACACACACACACACACAATCAAACCGTCTCCCAAAATTAAATTAAAAAGCCAACCAGCAGAGACCTAAGAGAAGAGAAGCTAAGTAATAGGAGGGGCTAAATTATGGTCTAAAGGAAGACAAAACTTACTACATTATATTATTATATAATGTGCACATGCTATATATATATATTTTTTAAGTTTATTTATTTATTTTGAGAGAGACAGAGAAAGTGTGAGCAGGGGAGGGGCAGAACGAGAGAGACAAAGAATCCCAAGCAGTCTCCACACTATCAGCATGGTGCCCTATGTGGGGCTTGAACTCACGAACCACAAGATTACGACCTGAGCTGAAACCAAGAGTTGGACGCTTAACTGACTGACCCATCCAGGAGCCCCCCCCGCTTTTTTTTTATTTTTTGAGAGAGAGAGCGTGAGTGAGCAAGGGGCAGAGAGAAAAAGAGAGAGAGTCCCATGAGGGGCAGAGAGAGTGGGAGAGAGAGAGGAATCAAGAGAGAATCTTGAAGTGGGGATTGAGCTCACCCAATGTGGTGATCAAGCTCACAAATCCTGAGACTGTGACCTGAGCCGAAGTCAGATGCTTAACCGACTGAGCCAACCAGGGGCCCCATGTGTATGTATTGTATAGAACAACCCAAAATATCTTGTTTGAAAAGCTCCCTGAATAATATAGCCTTTCTGGAAGATTAATGCCTGATGCGTCAGTGTATAAAATGTAACACTATTTTAATAGAACTAAAAGGTCACTTTTCAGATATTCTGCTTCATTTCTACAGTTGAGAATTATTCCTTCTTTTAATTTATAGACATTTCAAGTATTTCCCTCTAGATCCTCTATATTACTGGGTTTCATCATATTTAAAACACTTTTTAAAAAAGACTTTCTTTTATGATTTGGCATTTTTGAAAATTTTTTTACTTGCTAGTTGGCAACTGAGTGCAGTTGATATTGTCTCTTAAACATTAAAACCAAGATTATGAAAATAAAATAAAATAAAAACAAAAAAAGTAAAACCAAGATTATGACTGGAATTATACAAATAAAACCAATAACAACAACAAAAAAACAAAACAAATAAAACCAACAAATTGCCCATGGGCCTAAGTTGGTTTCTATAACACTTTGAGACCTTGGCAAGAGAAACCAAAAAAAATTCACAATTAATTTCTATTCTCATTTATATGAGATATGCATACAAAGTCCTTTTTCTATCATTTAAATCATAGGAAGTACTAAATAAATGGTATTTAGTTAGCTAAACCATACTGTATATTTTAATCTTCAAAAAAGCAATAAACATAAATTGACATGGATACAGCAAGAAAGTACAATGCTAAGTAAAATAAGTCAGTCAGGGAAAGACAATACTATATGATTTAACTCATATGGGGAATATAAGAAACAAAACAATCAATCCTGGTGGGGGGGGGCGTTGCAGAGAGAGAGAGACACACACACAAACTAAGAAACAGACTCTTAACTATGAAGTGCAACTGATGGTTACCAGAGGGGAGGTGGGTGGCGGGCGGGGGAGGAGTTAAATGGGTGATAGGGATTAAGGAGCATACTTGTGATGAGCACTGGGTAATGTATGGAAGTGCTGAATCACTATATTATACACCTGAAACTAGTATTACACTGTATGTTAATTATACTGGAAATAAATAAAAGAAAAGAAAAGAAAAGAAAAGAAAAGAAAAGAAAAGAAAAGAAAAGAAAAGAAAGCAACAAACATACCACTGTATCTCATAAGCCACTGAAAATCGCACCCTAAAGTTCTACTAAACAAGACCACATGCCTTCAGCAACACACATTTAATAACCATAAACGTCCATTAGGCCAATTGTATCTCTGTCTCTGGAGCAAACAGTTGGAAAGCATGAAGACAAGAACATGCATAGAAAAAAAAAAAAAAACAGAAACGCTACATAGATTTACGAGCACTTTAAATTTTAACAAACTGTTTTACATATTGTCCTTCTGATCCTGGATCTAGATACATCCTATCCCCCAGTTCACACTGCATTATGGCCCACTGTAATGCCACACTGCCTTATGGTGGTAAAGTATCAAATACCCCTCAGTTCAGAAGCAAAAGAGAGATCTGCTCTCCGCTAGAGGGACATCCAGACGACCAAGCCAGGGCGGATCCCACTGCAACCCCAATCTTATTCTGTTCAGGAAAGGTCCCCAACATTCACAACTCCGGTGACCGTCATCTGACTGATGGATGCAGGACACTTCAGGAAACTTTGTCATCCTCCGTTTAACAAACTACCCCAACTTACCCGGAAATAGTCACTGCATGCTGCTAGGACTGCCTTGTGAGCATGGAATTTCTGTTCCTCGGCAATCAGGGTGACATCACAGAGGATGCCGTCACTTCTCTGTTGATTCAGCGCTGCCAAGACGCTATCATTGTGAGATTCCGAGTGGCAGAGCCTCTGGCCTGTCAGCATTTCTTGAATACTACAAAAGAGAGCAATCGTGTCAACATGTTTTCTCCCACGAGCCCCTGCTGTCCCTGGTGCCCCCTCACTCCTTCAGCACCTGTGTAGGGAGCGCAGATCGCAGCACACTACAAGAATGTGACCTTTGTGATTCCTTTTCCCTCCTCTCTACTATTCTCCTGCTCTCCTTTTCTCTAATTCTCTCTTTTCCTCACCCCCTCAGGGTATCTTTCTCTTTCCTACCAGTGCTTCTCTTTCTGGATTTGTGTTTTTGTGTGTGTCCATCTGTCTGTGTATGGTCCATGTCTGTGGACCAGTGAGCCTCTGATTCTGGCCTCTGTCCCCTCAATACATGTACATCTCTGAGTGCAAAGCTTTCTCTGGATGTGTACCTGTATGTGTGTATATATGTGACTCTCTCCCCTCTATGACCCCCTTCCTGAGTCTCTGATTCCTTCTCTAGTTCTGTACCACTATGTGGGGGTGGTGCAAGCTCAGAACATGATCACCACCATGCACTGATCTAGCACAGAATCCACGGGACCTAAAAGACTCACCAGAGATACGGGAAGTTACTAAGTCTCCCCAGAGGTCACAATACTACAATAATAAATAAAACAAAACTGACTAAATGTTGATTAGAGAAAAAGGGGCTGCCACTGACTATCTCATGTAAAAAGCAATGAATAAACAATAGCAGATGATTATTAAACTTGGGAAATCATGTATCATGGGGGAACATCAAAAAAAAATGTCATCGTAAATGAAAAACATCTAAGGCTGAAAGTAAAATATATCTGTATTATCAGCCTTCAAACTCTGTATGTGGTCACTGCACTAGACTTAGAAATGACCATACAGTTTTATTTGCTGTTCTATTTTTTGAAACTGTTACATTTACTCATTGTGAAACTTAGCCCTTCACTCCTTACCTCATTTTAAAATATTCATCCTATGTCCTTTAGGACTCCTAGGTGTGGGGTGCCTGGGTGACTCAGTTGGTTGAGCCTCTGACTTCGGCTCAAGTCATGATCTCATGGTTTGTGAGTTTGAGCCCCGCGTCGGGCCCTGTGCTGACACCTCAGAGCCTGAAGCCTGCTTCAGATTCTTTGTCTCCCTCTTTCTCTGCTCCTCTCATGCTGTGCCCTCTCTTTCTCTCTCTCTCTCAAAAATAAACAACAACAACAAAAAAACTCCTAAGTGAAACCCCAGACCTTCCCAAAATCATGTAGAAGGCCATACATTGACTGTGTAGATAGCTCTGAACAATTCCAGCCTACATCTATGAATACAGTCTCCACAGTGCTCTAAAATCTCAGAACTGACATCAGACCAGGATTGGTGAGCGGCACCAGTCACAAGTTACTCCCAGAATGAGAACAAGGGCCATCGAGCCCTGTTTCTGGCCTTCGGACTCCTCTTGAAGCTGAGTGAAGATACCATGGGGATGACTGAGGATCGTCTCTCCTATCCTGACAACTGCTGCATCCAATTCTCCCCTCTGAATGTGAAAGAACCGCTCAGGGAAGCTGGGGAGTCGCCACTGGCCTAGTCTGCATGCTTAGTTTATTTAACAAAGCTCTGTCCGGCCTGTGGTGCCAGTTGGCTTGTAAACCGCAGTTCGACACAGACTGTTCCACTTTAAGGTGAAACAAATGCTTCCTATGAAATGCAGAGAACAGCCTATAAGTTTTATTGGACATTTCTGACTGGGGAGCCTCAGAAATGTCAGAACTACTGAAAGAAAAAAAAACTTGACAGGAGGTGATGATATAGGAAGTTCTTGTGGGAAGGTGGGAAGATTATTTTCAGTTGGAATGCAGCAGTGAGTTTTGAAATGGTTACTGTCGTCGAATATTCATCTAGCAGCTCTAGCTATCCACATTTAAAATCAGTAACTGAAAACCACATTCAGAAGCATAAGTAACTTTTAACACAAATTTCTATGCAAAGCCTAGAATGGAGATGAATTAGCATTACTCAATTAAAGAAATGAGGAAATAGTAAAAGAAATATTACATCAGCTAAAGTAAAGCTTTAGGATAATTTTTGAAAAATCTTTCCTGAAAGGATGACATTTTTATATATTTTACAGTCTTCCTATGTTCCATGAATTATTCTTAGTGATTTATAATTATTAATTCACTTAATCATCATCACAACCCTATGAGGCAGGCATTATTATCTCTATTCTACAGATGACAAAACCAAAGGTCCAAGATCATGCATTTTGAGCACCTATCGCCAAGAACACAATACTGTAATTCAGCCTCCTGCTTAAAAAACAAGATAAAGACAAAACAAAACAAAATGGCAAGCTGTGAAAAAGATCTAAAAAATCTCTGATCGCAGGGGTAAAAGGTCACAAAGTCTATACTAACTTTGTATTTATATTATGCATAGTTATCTCAAAATCAAAGCTGCCTTTTAAAAAGAATACACATGAAGATAATAACAGGAAATAGTTGTAAGAAATATCTAAAATCAGGCTTCAAAAATATTTATCTTTGCACTGCAACTAAGATAAGTTTGGAGATAGGAAAACAGATTCCAATTATTACTTATTTGAAATACTCATAGACAACTTCTTAGATACACTCATTTCTCCCTTTTAATATCGCTTTAAATGCTAAATAAATATATTTTAAAATTTCATTTGTAGAACAGTAGAATATGTTAAAATAATTGCCTTCAAGTGTTTCCTTATTCATTTCCCAAATATAGTGCCACAATTTATGTCCTTATTATCAAGACTGAATCAGTATTTGCATTTCAGATATCTATTGACAGTGAATACATCTTGCCAGGGAAAGAGCAGCTGTAAACTGAAATTTGGCAAAAGATAAAGGGCTCAGCTCTGAAACAATGGTGATGCTGCATAATTTCACAGGATCATTCAGCTGGGCTTGAAATATTCAAGCTTAAAGAAAACAACATGCTAAATATTTAAGGCAACACTTGGCACAAGATTCCAAATATTTTGGAACCAATATGTTAGGAATCTTCAAAAGCAGAAACAAATACTCCAACATTTGGCAAGAAATAAAGGCCTATTAATCAACAAGTCTTTATTGTATTCTGAAAGTAACTTCCCACTCAACTCTCAGATATAAACCTGCAAGAGGCTTCAACCCTCTAAATGTTAAGGCCTGTGTGGCCACAGAACACAGCTGGAAAGAGGCAGGCCCATCTGATGAAGTCAATAATCATAAACAAGGAAGGGGGTGAATCAGAGACCATTAAGTACCATGTCTGAATTAAGATGGGGAGCAGATACATGCTTGCACATGGCTGCATTGACATCTATAATTTATATCAAATTGGCATACTAAGCTTCCCAACAATGTCCCTCTGTTATGTAGGAAACAATGAAGAAGGAAGGAATAGAATATCCCCAAAACTTCCTAAATTACTGGGAAAAAAAAAACACATAAAACATGAGGCACATTTGCCAAGGGTATACAGATTTGAGTGTCATCCTAAAATTGGGAAAGGTCGACTGTGGAAGCAATATTGCCACCTTAAAACTTACAGGTAAGGGCAGAAGGTGACCTGGCTTCCCCAGGGCAACCCCAAAAGTCTTTCCTCTGAGGGATCCCCTAAAACTACACTGTCCAATACAATAGCCATGAGCTACAGGTGGTTACTAACCACTGGAAATGTGGGTAGTCCAAACTGAGATGTGTTGTGAGTGTAAAATGCTCTCAATGTCAGACGTAGTATGAAAAAAGAATGCAAAATATCTCATTAGTATTTTTATATTAATTACATATCGAAATAATAATATTTGGGGTATACTAATTAAAAATAAACTAGTTAAATTTATTTTACCTGTTTATTTTTATTTCTTTTAAAAGTAACTACTTGAAAATTTTAATTATACATATGGTTCGCAACATGGTCCTATTGGACGGTGTACAAGTTCCTAGGGGACATGTCCCTCATTCCTTTCCACCTGAACTCCGTAAGTTCTACAGGGCACAGCCTCTGTGGGTACAACATGGGAAGCCCCCACTCTCGAAGCAGCAGACTGCGTTTTAGTGATGACAGGATACAACCATTTGACCATATGTCAGCATTCAGTAACGGAGATAAATAAATGAGGTCTCACAGCACAGGACTATTCATGACTTCAAGTCTGTAACTTTCATTCTGGATTTGATAGCAAAAACTAAAAAAATCAAATGCAGAACATGATGTTGATAACATGGTACACCCTACTCAGATGAAGCTCTACCATAGTGCAAATCACTATTTGCAGTTGACAGAGTTAACATTTTTGATCACAGAACTCTCACAGGGTCTCATTTTCATAAAGTAAATTTTGACTGAGTTTACTAAGTTTTTAACATGTAAATTCCAAAACAGCTATCTGGTTTTTAAACATTTGCATTTCAAATTTTAAAATTCAAGTCAATGTTTCTATCAATGCTTACCTAGTATTTAGACACACAAAATATATGCAAGTAGATTTCAAGCGAGGCTACCAATAAGATATCAAATACTTACAAATCAAAAGCAGTCAAGTAGCATGAAGAGTTTCATTTCTTAAACAGACCACACAAAAAACAGAAGACTGGACCAAAAAAAAAAATGATAGTGCTAGAATTATTCATGATTATCTCAATTCAGTCTATTGATGAATTATCAGGTGAGTACCCTAATCACTTCAATTCTACGATCAAAATATTTCTATACAAATTAAATACATCAATATTAAAACAGCCCTATTTATTTTTGTAAGCAGACTATTAACTCCATAATGGAACTTAATTTTTCTTTTTACAGAACACTTTATAATTTTTACATATTTTAAAATGAATGCTAATAATTAATAGCAATGGCCAAAATAATAAGCAAAGAAGACACAATATGTTAGAGAATGATTAAGAAGTAATAAAGATTATACAGAGAGGGACTTAATTATAAATGAATAGTTTTGTTTCATTCCTCCCCTCATTCATTCACTCAATAAACATTTACCCTATCCAGGTGCCATGCTAGATACTAGAGATAAAATGGTGAACAAACCAAACTTGGTAGCAGCCCTTGTCGAACATTGAGTTTAGCAAGGCAGTTACACACTAAGCAAATAATCTGGCCTCCCAGAAGCAAGAATGCTGGAGCTGGGGGATGAAGGATGAGAAGGAGCTACTGTGGCAAAAAGAGTTTTCCAGGTAGGGAGAGCAAGTCCTGGGATCCCGTGGTAGGAGGAAGCATGGTGCTCACAACAGTATGTCAAGGGTCAAAACCTTGAGAACAAGGAAGGACAAGGTCTGCAGCTCAGAGAGAGGCTTGGCTAGAAGTGTAAATCTGGGACTCATCTACATAGAGAGGGTAACAGAAACACAGCTGTGTCTCCAGAACACAGTGCAGACACAATCAACAGCGAAAGGTTGGTAGGAAGTTAACAAAGACAGTATTCAAAATACAGAAGGAGGGATGGGCTCCGTGGTGGAAAAGGACTGCCCTTGGAGTAGCAGGAGGGAGGAAACAGGCATACCAGGAACACAAATTCAAACTCTTAGAATTTTTTTGGTTTGTTAAATATAAAGATTTAGTGGAACCATCTCCACTAGGCAATGTAGGCAAGGAAACATGGATATCTGGGTTCATCTGGGTTGGAATTTTGTCAGGAAAATGCATCAAAAACACAGGAAGGAAGAGAAATCAAGGATTTAAAGAGTTGTAGAAAATGGGTGACTCAGTCGGTTAAGCATCCAACTTTGTCTCAGATCATGATCTCATAGTTCATGGGTTCAAGCCTCACGTTGGGCTCAGAGGCTGGAGCCTGTTTCAGATTCTGTGTCTCCCTCTCTCTCTGCCCCTTCCCTGCTTGTGTGCTCTCTCTCTCTCTCTCTCTCTCTCAAAAATAAATAAACATTAAAAAAATAAAATAAAATTTAAAAAATAAAAATAAAAAATAAAAGTTATAGAATCTAAACTGGATCAGAAGGGAAATGAGGGAAAGAAGGGGATGATGTGTTGGTAGAAAGTAGCAAGGCCAGTAGATGAGACACTGCAAGGAGGTCGAAGTACAACCACAGTGAGGGAAGGCTAGACAGAGAGGAGATCCTGGTAAGAGTAAAGTGGCTGATGTAGTGGTATCACACACAGAGCAACTACTGGGATGCAAGGTCCCAGGTGTGACCATGGGAGTTGATGTCTCAGTAAAACAAGGTTTTTGGAGATAAGCAGATTGAAGATCCGAGGCCACCAAGTTGGACGGATCCTCCTTGCAGACACTGAGGACACTGGGATATTGCAATGGGTTTGTGATGAGGAAGAACACTGTAATCTGGGTGCCAAATGCTCAGTAAATGAGGGGAAATGACCCTAACTATAGTGGAGAGGAGAGAGGAGAGAGAAGGGAGAGAGTTGAAGAGCATCAGAATGAGCATGTCTCTGTTGTATTTTGTTATTGTTGCCTTCTCAGACAACCAACCTGAAGAGTAATGATGGAGAAGCAAAGCCACGTCCCAGGTGACAACAATCTCTCTACCTATCCCCCCAAATACATGAGATGTGAGGAGGGCTCTTAGCAGGGCTCCAAGTGGGCCTCAGGAGAGGACAGGTCTCAGTGAAGTCAGGAGGGGAAGGGAGCTTTTCAGGGTAAGGAGATTATACAGCAGAGCAGACAATCACAGTGCAACAGTTCCCCAGGGAACAAGGGAAGTCTGGAAGGTGGGGAAGGGAGAGCTGTGAATCATAGCTGAGAAGGAAAGACCATTACGGAGATGACGGTGCAGGGGAGGACAGGTGGCAGAGGGGTCAGAGTGGATCAATAAAAGCAGAGATGGTAGATTTAAAGTAAAAAACAATTTTGGGAAAAAAGCACATAGATCCTGGTAGTCAGAAATAAATCACTTGGCTGAGGTGGTGGCAGACAGATACCATGGTCTCTATGTGCCTGTATAGGCTGGATGCCACATCTGGAGCAGGATTTCTCAACCTCAGTGAAACGAACATTTGGGGCCAGATCGTTATCTACTATGGGGAGCCATCCTGCGTATTGTGAGATGTTCAGCAGGATCCCTACCATCGACTGACCAGATGCCAATAGCATCCCCAACTCCGGTGACTACCAAAAATGTTGCCAGATATTGCACAATGTACACTGAGAGCAAAACCATCCCCCACTAAGAAACGCTGATCTAGAGCAACGGACTGGCTCTGGGGAGTGAAGCAGCACTGGACCGGCTGTAACAATGCCTCCTTCCATGTCTGAACATATTTTTGGAACCGGTCAACTCTAATAGTTACAGAGTTGTGGAAGAAAGGCAGTCTCATTATTCCATAGACATACACAATTCTTAATTAATAAAAAGAATCTCCTCTGTTTCACACCTCTCATTTTTTGCTCTGAAGATCCTTTTGACTGTTTCCTCAGAGGATGATAAAGACTTGCGTCACTTTGAATATTCAAAAAAATGCCCTGTGTCTTCTTCTTGACTGCATCCACAGGTTTGGGTATGTGCCAAGTTCCTTCCTGCCCCAGAGCATTTCCCCATGTCACCCCACGCATCAGTGCTCAAATTACAGACCACTTCTTCAGGAAGACACTTTGTCATTCTATTAACCCTATACTTTTCCTTCAGAGCACTTTTCACAATTATATCTGCATTGTTACTGGGTGTGATTTGTTAGATATCAGTTTCCTCCATTGAATATATGTTTTATGAAGGCAGGAACCTTCTCTCTTTTATTCATAGCTGGATGCTCTGCATCAAGTAGAGTGCTTGGCTCAATAAATATCTGTTAAACAAATGAATTATTAGAAGAATGTTGAGAGTATTTTGAGAATACATATCATACTCCCCAGAATGATTGCTTTAAAGGGGATGATGGTGATATTTATACAAGTATAGTTTTCTGATTCTTTTTAAAATCATCTACCTTTATAAAAGTATTCTTTTTTTTTAAACATTCCAAATAAAAAAATATAGTAAACAGTATCATTCAAAGAACCATGAGATGTACCTAGGTTTGACCCGTAAATAGATCACAGTGGTTAACCCATGTGCTATGACACTAAACTCATACACACTCTAACTGGTTTACTTAATTCCTTCAAATACGTCTTGAGCCTTGCTCTGTACTAAGCCCTGGGATGTGCAGGGTAACTATTTCGGGGTTCACTACACCAAGCAAGGAAGCATCCTACAGGCCCAACCTCAGGCAGCGTTCAGACGGCATTCTCCAGCTGGGTTCCTCAGGATCTCAGCCTTAGCAGTTTGTAAGCATTCCAGCTGAATAAAAAGACAAGAAAGAAAAGCACAGTGAGCTAAAGGCAAAAAAAGCACACTCTGGGCCTTCATGATGTGAATGCTTTAGAACCCCATGGAGGCACCAAGGGGAGTTTTATAGTCCAGATTCAACTTTTTGACTGAATGCTCTTTAATAAGAAATGGTCTGGCATGTTTTTTACATTGTTTTTTTCCCCTCACTGGAATTTCAGAGACTAAGCAGGAAAATGTGTTTAAGAACCAACAATAGCTAAATTAAAGGTTACAGTAAAAATTAAAACATCAGATGGCCAAAGGGAAAAATTAAGATTTAATAAAATAAAGCTACAAAGGTCTACACCACAAATACTAGTTGACTTGTCCTTTATAGCAATTTTACTTTTCTTCCAAACATGAATATTAATGAAATTAAGTTAAAACTAAGTATGTCTTGGCTAAGTATCTACAGAAAGATAATTTTCTATCAAGGAGCAGATTTCTGAAAACTGCTCAAAAAATAACATCTAGAGAGGGTGAAAATTAGTAGGAAATGGTTTAAAACAGATTCTTACAGCAGATTTAGGATTAGCACAACTGGAAATATAAAATAGAATGAAGTTGTCAGGCTTAAAACAGCTCCTTGGCTATATACTCATTTAATCACCCCCCCCGCCCCCACTACATCGTGAACCTCCTCTCAGACTTTCTTCTCAATCACTCATATAACTCCAAACAGAAAAGTAAATTATTTGAATAGTCTGGGGCCTGGTCCTCATTAGAGGATCTAACTCCCATTTTCTAATATATAAGTCGCAAAATTAATTCCAATCTGGATAATCTTAAACAGGCTCCCTTCTGTCCCATTTTTATTTTGAAAAGTGGTAACAGGGTAAAAATATTAAACTGTACCTAGTTCTGCTGATTTGTATAAAAAGGGAGCTATGATTTCTAACCTAACTAAAACACAGTATTTGGATATATCATAATTTCTTTAAGTATTCCATTGTTCCTGAACATCAAATTGTTTTGAACATTTTCATACAATTATATTTTTTTATTTCTGGTTTTCTTTAATTATTGAAAATAGGATGTCTAGACTTGCATTTATTTCTAATTTATGTTTTGACAAACCTAAAAATGAGCCTCATTTTCAACTGATCCAGGATTACTGAGCAGGATGGAGGCTCAGAATAATTCAAGGCATGTTGTTTAATTAGCTGAGAGATTTTCCTAGCAACCTATCACTGCTAGTTTCTCTCCAGAATCTAGGTTATAAACTTCAGGCTCTTACAGGCTAATGCAAACACTAACAGAGATGGACACTTCAGCTTTACAATGGCAAAAGAACATTTATTATCACAGAGAAGGGGGGGGGAACCTTATCTTTCTGACAGTCTTGTAAATGCTCCCAATAATTAGACACATGGAGAACAAGAATCCTAAAAGTTAAAAGAATCCAAAATTAAAGGACATATTTAACTCGATATTTTTCAGATTCCAAACACTATTAAAAATCATAAGATAAATTAAAGTCCCTTGCTATTTGGAGACCAACTCACTAAATTGGCTCTCCTCAGAAATTATCTAATTAGAACATGCTATACTCTACAAAGTTTAGTGAAATGGACACCTTTTTAAAGGTGAATTAAAATGAGTCAAAGGATCGCCTTTGAAAAGGTTTATTGTTATCTATTATTTACTATTTTTACTATATGTTATTTACTCTTTACTATATATACTTTTATATAATTTGTATCCTTGGTTATAATCTTGGTTTTGTATAAGTAACATTTGTTTTTACATTTTATTAGGTATACTTCATATTTTAAGTTTCCCTTAAATGAAGTGTCTACTTCACTCAGCCAGACCTTTCTCCTCCCACTTCCTTGTATTTTTCCTGTAGCAGGGAGGGATATGGATTTCTTCCTAAGTGAAGGTGCTCACTTCTTCCCACAAGGCCAAAGAGATCCAGGCCAGTCTCCTGCCTTTCCCTTCTTCAGAATCTAGAAATAGATTCATGGCTGGACCACCCTGGCAGGGTCCCAGGAGCAAAACTACAGGAAGAAAGGCTAGAGTTGCTCTCCAGGCATCTAGCTCTCAGAGCTGCTCACACCCTGTTAGGTATACAATCACGTAAGCCCTGAGGGTAGTGCTATTTGGCACGGGAAGCATGTGAGGTAGCTCTTTTTCTGTGAATTGAGAGTAATCACATTCAGGGTCTCTTTCAGTAGTGACCATCTGCAGCTTTCTGAGCCCACTGGCACCATAGAACCAGATTATTCTATGAGTTCTAGAATGTACTCATCCCAGCCTCATCTCCCACATGCATGATCCCCAAACTATAAAGGTAAAACATCCCCTTCCACAAACTAGTCTTTGTAACCACCTGTGTAAAGAGCGTGAGACTCTGACCTGTCTACTTCTACTTGGGGCAGAACGCTCCTCTCAGCCTTGCCTCACTTTAGAGACCAGCACTCCTGAGGTCTGAGATCTGGTCCCTCAGCTCACCTGTTCCCTAAGCAAGGTCCACACATGTGTCCCCTGAAGTCCTGGGCATCCACTATTTAGCCCAAAATCAAATTAAATCCCTGGGGAACAAGTCCCACTATCAATGCTGTATCTTTAGGATAGAATTCAAATGCAGCTTGCTCAAAAACACCTCCAAAGTTTTGGAGATTTTTTTTGAATGATTCATAAAATAAATACTTACTGAGGAACTAGTTTATGTAAGACCAAGAGCTGAGTTCCTAGGATACAACAGCTAATGTAGGAGTTCTTCCTCTCATAGGGCTAACAGCGGACATGGCGGACAGCAAGAGTGGCTTGAGAGTGTTTTAGCCTTCATAATCATCACTGATCTCTTCTCAAAGACATCCTAAGTAAGCACACTGCCCCCAGGCCACAGCGAGCTCTGCTTCACAAACATAGCCTCAAGACCAACTCCTAGCCCTTCCTTTTTAAACAAAAGGCTGACCTTCAGCCCCATCCTGGCCACTGCCAGGGCCTGTTTAATTCATTCTTTAACCTTAATTGTGATACATGCCAGGGGCTCTAAGCAGTTTCCTCATGTAAAAATAGTAACACCTACCTCATTGTGTTGTTGTGAGGATTAAACAAGTCTCAGAAACTATCTGTCCCATGACAGTTAGCTGTTATTATTATTGTTGTTGTTTTATTGTTACTTATGGTTGATTATTAACACAGCAGAGAACTTGGCTCATCCTGTGTAATCAGGGAAGGGACTTCCCTGAGGATGGAACATCCAAGTTGATCTCTCAAAGATAATTATTACCTGGGGAGGGGTGGGAAGAAGGGTAGTTGGGAGGTGCCCTGGGCAGAGTCAACAGCCTGTGCAAAGGTCCTAAAAGCAGAAAGAAGCAGGGCCTGTTAGAGGCCAGAGTGCAGACCACACAAGCAGTATTAAGAATACTGGTCTCAGGGCTCCTGGCTGGCTCAGTAGGGGGAGCATGCAACTCTTGATCCTGGGGTCATGAGTTTGAGCCCCACATTGGCCACAGAGATTACTTAAAGAGAGAGAGAGAGAGAGAGAGAGAGAGAGAGAGAGAGAATATGAGAATATTGGTCTCTGTCCTAAAATCAGTGGGAGTCCACAGAAGGTTTTAAAGTGAGAGACTTGAATGATGAAATTTGCATTTTAAAAAGATTGCTCTGGCTGTGGTTTGAAGGTTATTGGGAAGGTGCTAGAGTCCCCAAAGGAACAAAAGGGAACTTCCAACTCTTTGGCTCACCCTATAAGAGTAATCACTAGTTCACACAATCAACCTCTCCCTAACATCAAAACCCCTCTGGTTTCCTGTCTGAGGGATCACATCTACTTGCCTTCATCAGCTATCATCCTGAACAACCATGCCAAGTACTTGGCCCCTGGGTCTTATACATGGCTAGCACTAACTCATTGGTTGGCTGACATTGAATTCTCTGTTCAAGTGGGTTCTACTCTCCCCTTCAGTGGTTGATAAGTTCAATAGTGGTGTCTAAGGAGAAATCTTAAGTAGAGAGAGACAGACTGAGTGTCAAGTTCCCCATCTCACTCAACCCAATCAGTCTCCTCACATGTATGAACTTGGTATTTTTGTAGAGTGCATACCTGTCCCTGCCCAGCCTCCCACAAGGTTCTGCTGGCAACCAAGCACCTCCCACCACCAGGCCTTAACTGACTGGTCTACGAGTCTGGACCTAATAGCAAGCTAAGCCAACCAGACCCCTCCCCTGGGATTTAGAATTGGAATCACCAGTCTCCAGATCAATTGGACTGCTTACTTACAAATAGAGAACAATACAGGAAATGATGTTGGTAACTATTTTTATGCTAATCCTATCTCTACTTAAAATTTTGATGTTTTGCTTATCATCAACTTGAAATGTTACATTAAAATATTATTTATTTTGAGAAGATGTGGTATATGCATACAAAGGAATATTACTCAGCCATAAAAAGAATGAAATCTTGCCATTTGCAATCATGTGGATGGAGGTAGGGAGTATTATGCTAAGTGAAATAAATCAGTCAGAGAAAGACAAATACCATATGATTTCATTCATATGTATTATTTAAGAAACAAAACAAACCAGCATGGGGAAAAAGAGAGAGACAGAGAGAGAGAGAGAGAGAGAGAGAGAGAGAGAGAGAGAGAGGCAAAACAAGAAACAGACTCTTAACTATAGAGAACAAATCAATGGTTACCACAGGGGAGGTGGGAAGGGGGATGAATTAAATAGGTGATGGGAATTAAGGAGGGCACTTGTGGTAAGCACAAGGTGTTGTATGTAAGTGTTAAATCATTAAATTGTAGACCTGAAACTAATATTACACTATATGTTAATTAACCATAATTTAAATAAAAACTTAAAAAATACAAGTTAATATATGAACCTTTAGGGGTTCTCTGTATGATAGATTGTATTTGGTTGAAAGTTTAAAAGTATTAAAGGTCTTACTGAGACCACAATTAAATAATCTTCTAATCTGTATAAATCTCATTTAAATAAGTGAAAGTAAGATG